TTAATAGTAATCAGTTTAATTAATAGAATAAAGGGTTTTTATGCCATGCTCTAAAATTAATAAAAGTACCAAATTTTATCAAACGTTATAAAACTATATATAATTATTAATTTTGCAAAAATCATTACCGAAGCATTTGATAAAAATTCCCGAGCTTTCTGGTGCTCCCATAGATATGGAAATACGTTAAATATTTCCATAATCTGGTAATTTTAACCATGCTTTTCTTTTCTCAGTGCATAAAATAGCCGTAAGAACCACAACTTTATTGCCCCATACTACAAGTCTCTAAGATATGCATTTGCTTCCAAGAAATTGAAACTGAATGAATTTGTAGCGTAGTTTCGTTTATTTATATTGTCAAACTATTGCTTTAATGATTGATGTAAATCAAGTGTGTAGGGCAGAGTTCTTTATTCTATTTCTGAAAAAAAATCGCGAACAAGAAATGATTGCGAAATTACCATAATTATTTTACACTTATTATGGTCTGTCATAGAGAATGATGGATAAAAATCTGCAAGCATAATTAATGCATAAATTGATGATAGATTAATAACGTAATTCTTAGTAGTTATTTGCAAGAAGAAGTTGTAGATTTTAAATGCTTGGAATTGTTGTCTTTATAACTAGAAGTAAGATAGCTTTAACTATGAACTAAAAAAGCTTATCAAAAATTATGAAGAAGAAGTATAAAACACATTTTAATTTTTTTTACACAATTTTTTATCAAAAAGATAAAAGTACTTTAATGCGTTGAGCTGTGCAAAGTAAAAAAAAATCCTGAATAAATTATGGTAAAAAGTACTGGCACCCTGAGTGATCATCCGTAAAATTAATTTTACCATAAAATAACTTTAGACTGTAAAATTTTATACCATTTATTTTACAGTAATAGTTATTAAATTAAAGTGATTAAGTGTATTTAGAATAAGTATTATTGTTAAAATTACGGTATATAAAAGTTTTTGTTCCAAAAATATTTAAGGCAAAAATTATGTTTACAGTAATTTGATCCAGGATATTTTTTAGTGCTAACAATATAGTGTCTAACTCCAATATTATTAGGAAGGTGCCGATTTTTAAAACCAACAGCTCTTCAGCATTGTTTCTAAGTAGGTATTTCATAAAAGTTCTAAAATTACCACTAGATGACAGATATATTAGACTATATTTTACCCACATAGACCATGGCATGCATTTTTCACTTAAACCATGCTGGAAATGTGACAAATGCGGATTTTTTTATGAAATATTTCTAAATTTTTATTTTGTTATTTTTGAAAATAAAGTATTTTCAAAAATAACAATATAAATTTCAATATAAATTTCGCCACTGAAAAACAGAAAACTCACCTTCTGCCTTTAAAATTGGCTTGGATTTACATAGCAGGTTTGCTGATATTAGTTAGTGGCATTAGTAACAACAGGAAAGATATTACCATAGTGTGCAATATTATTACAAGGCTTTTTTCCTCCGTGTGGGATCCTAGTTAATTTTACTATTTGGGATTTTAAGCATCATTTTTATTCAATTTTAATTCATAGACTATTTGTAATAAGATATTATAAGAGCTTATGCGTTGTATAATATGAGGTGCGATATGTTTAGTATAAGTAAATGAAAAACATTTTAAAAACTATGTTTTCTAGTAATCTAATTTTATTAGAATTAAGTTACAAAACTCTAAACACATCAACACATCGATTTTGACACGCTTGAAAAACTTTGGTCGGTGTTTGCAATTTATAACAAAAATCATGTTCCTTTCGTTTTTCATTTCAGGTTTGACAAAATTGATTTTTTTTTCTACTTTTTAGTGCAATTTGAAAAACATAGTTTACTTATTGAATAATCTGATTAACTTGAAGTAAACTGATTAATTTAATAAAAACGAAACAGTGTAATTTAACTTGAAAAAAAAACTGCAGGATTCACTGCTTGAAAAAAACTGCTGTTTGAGATTACAGTGATAAAATTAAGAATGCATAGTGCTTTGAATTTATACAATAAAATATAACGGCATCAAATTTGTTTCATGAACTGTATTTAATATCTATTTCATTTACATATACTTTCAGAGCACAGCAGACATTACAATATACTAGCATGGTAAAACAAGAAAGTTTGATGCTGTTGTGATTTAAATTTCAGCTTATAGCTCTATATTTTATCTTGCCAAAATTTCAAAGCATTCGGTAATAACTATCTACCAATACTTTTTTAATCATCCTTAAAAAATGTACATAAACTTAATTCCAAGGCTATTGAAGTTTCTATGACATGTTTGAATGCGTTTTGTGTCGTATTATTGCACTTCACGAATTTTTGAAACAAACAGTTCTTAACGCCATTTAAATGCCTGAAAAATAAAAATAATACAATTTAGAAGATAAAAACACAAGACATAGCAAAATTTAATAATCCAAAGCAAATATTACAACAGTTCATTTTTCCGATTTCAGAGAAGCGAACGGAATACTTTTAATTTAACAAAATCTCGCAAAACCTAATCAAAAACTAAATGATACATGTTTTTCATAATGTATTGTATATCTTACATTACATAAAAAAAACTCAAAATTATGTTTTTACAAAAGCTATCGAATTTCTTTTCTCACAATGGCAGTGGCTATCTGAAACAAACAATAAGCAAAAAGGGAACTGGTTATAAAATGTGGACAAACAAGCTAAGCCTTATTTTTTGTCTTTTTGTTTTTAAATTCATCAATTTACGAAGATAACCTAATATTTTAGAGCTCAATTTTGTTTTAGTATTGCTTAATGATTTGAGCAGAAGAGAGAGAGGCGTTTTAAAGAAACTCAAGAAGTTCCAATTTTGTACTGCTTGAGTTTAATGATGTTATTTATCGATACATCCATTTTTTTTATTTCTGGAATATTAACTCTATTTTTATTGACTTGGTATTGTTTCACTTAACAATGAAATATAGAATTATTTCAACAAATAAATTCAATTTATTAATTTTTTCAAAAAACAAAAAAATGAAAAAATAAAATATATA